GGGGTGGGCGTGGGGTGGGTTGAGTGGGGGGTGGGTTTGGGGTGTGGGTTTCGGTGCCAGTATGGGTGTATAGGTATCCAAGAAAAACTCTATCCTTGGCTACGAGCGATAGAGATAGATTGGTATAGAACATATGGGAGACGTATGAGGTATACGTGATATAGTAGATATACGAACCATCAGACATATAGGAGCTATAGGGGATATAGCAGGTATAACAGGTACACGACATATACTACATATAGGAGAGATAGGAGGTATAGGAGATATACAAGGCCTAGGAGGTAGAAGACGTATAGGACATATCGTAGACACAGGACGTAAAGGAGATATAGGAGGTATAGCAGATATCAGACACATAGGCGGTATAGGAACTATACGAGGTATACGAGATCTAGGAAACACAGAGAGTATAGGAGATATAGAAAGTATAAGAGGTATCGGAGATACAGCAGTAGCGGCGGCGCCAGAAATTTAGACTAGGGTGGGCTTAGGCCCTCTGGATTATCGCCAGGATGGACTCCAGCTTACTTAATTTCCAAAGACGAAAAAATTTAATCCCAAATTTTTGGAACTTTTCGATTCTTCAAAAATATTTCCTGTTCTATACTAAATAATTCGCATGAATGAAGCGAGCGCTTGACTATTTATTTTAAAAAGACCTAATGAGATAACTTAGCACTATAAAAACCTGCTGTTCTTATCAATTCGTGCAAATTTACCTACTACTCGCTCATAATCTACATCAAGATCATCTTCAACAGTCAAGACTCGGAAGTCACTTAAAAAGCGCCATTAGAAGGTGAAGAAGGAAAATTTTCACATTCAAATGATAACTTTGACGCGGATAAATTGATAACGCTAAATTCTATTTCTTGATCATCAGTGCGTGGCTTACTTTTAAACGAACGAAAAAAATATTCTATGGTTTTACGTTATTCAGGCTACATCTCTAAAAATTGTGTTTAATTCCAAAACTTTGGCGTCGCTTACAATAAAAAACAAATAGAAAAACAGAAAGAATCTTTGCCGTAGCTTTATCAGTCGTATGCTGCAAAAACACTTGTATAAAAGGCCATGGGATCAAGGCAAGGGGGAAAAAGCGCGACTCCATGCACTCCTAAAAAAGTTGGAGTACAATTGGAGTACCATTGGAGTACGATTGGAGTACAATTGGAGTACAATTGGAGTACCATTGGAGTACCATTGGAGTATCATTGGAGTACCAGTGTCAGGTACTCCAATGATACTCCAATGGTACTCCAATGGTACTCCAATCGTACTCCAATCGTACTCCAATGGTACTCCGATGGTACTTCAATGGTACTCCGCATACTGGAGTCGCGCTTTTTCCCCCTTGGATCAAGGTCATAGATTTTACGAAAAACCTCAAAAAATTTCAGGATGGAATAGAAAACGTTAACAGTGAGCTGAGCCCAGTCCAGCCCACCTGTGCCACCCCGCTATATACGATGTATATGAGATATAGCAGGTATACTAGATATAGAAGGTATCGGTGGTACAGCACACATAGAAGATATACAAGATATAGGAGATATAGGAAGTATAGGACTTATAGAAGATATAGGAAGTATATGAGATATAGGTGGGATACTAGAGATAGGAGAGATAGGAGATATAGGAAGTATAGGAGTTATAGACGATATAGGAATTATAGGCGCTATAGGAGATATAGATGGGATTCTAGATATGGGAGGTATAGCAGGTATAGCAGGTATAGGAGATATAGGAGGAATTGGCGATATAGATGAAATAGGCGATATAGAAAATATAGTAGGTATAGGATGTATAGAAAATATGGAAGGTATAGGAGGTATCGGATATATAGGCAGTGTAGGAGTTATAGAAGATATGGGAAGTATACGAGATATAGGTGGGATACTAGAGATAGGAGGTATAGGAGGTATAGGAGATATAGAAAATAGAGAAGGCGTAGGAAGTGTAGTAGATATAGAGTGTTTAGAAGATATAGGAGTTATAGGATGTATAGGAGGTATCGAAAATATAGGAGTTATAGTAGAGATAGTAGGAATGGGAGATATAGAAGATATGGGAGATATAGAAAATATAGTAGGTATAGGAGTTTTAGGAGGT